CCCCAAAACCCCAAAACCCCAAAACCCCGAAGAGAAAAATTTTGATAATTTATTGGATATAAATAAATCTAAATATCAATTTTTATTCTAGTTTCATTGAAGTCATCTAAATAAAAGAGATTTATCTCTCATCAATAGCTTATTTTTACTTAATTAGAAGTTAAGTTTTTTTTGAAGGTTTGATTCTTTCTAGATAGGCTGTTGAGTTTAATTTCCAATAATGCTCTTATTTTCTTAGTCATTATCTAAATTGTCATTGATTTAATTCTGCTATATTTTCCTTTCTGTTTGCTGAGATTCAAGGCTTATAATATTTTATGTCTATTGATTTTAACTTGGACTTTTGCAATTAGCATTAGTTACCTACGAAAGAACACTAGAACTTGGCTATGAAGTTAGATGAGGCTTACAAAAGTAATTCATCTATTATTGCTTCACTCTATCCATTTTTAGTTTTAACTATTTCTTCATCTCGTCTATTTTATTCACTGAAGTTTATCTACTTAAATTTCTATTTTCATTACTGTTAATCACTGTCTAATCATTTTTTTCACTAGTAAAAACTAGCTTATTCTTTAATGATGCATATTCTTAGTAGTTCAAGCTTCTCCTTGATGATGGTATTTATCTATTTGTGGATAAAGCTGATTGAGGTCTGACGTTTCCATAATATTCATTCAATTTGAATTAACCTTGGTCTATTTCTTCCATTAATTTTAATATCTAACTTTTGATACTTTACTCACTCTACATATGGAGGAATTAAGACTATAAATAGAATTACTGTGTTCATCTCATGCTAAATACTTTTTTATTTCTTTTCATTAAGATCTTTTACTTTCTATTAAAATTCCTATTCAAGAATTAAAAATTCTTCCCTATACTACAAATCAATTTTTCCAATCTATATTTCTAAATTCTATTTTTCCTAATCTTCTATCTTTTGTATCTCTGTTTTTATATCTTCATACTTATTTTCAAGTTATTCAGCCTCTAATTAAATTATTAGTTTATTTTTATTTTATGATCTTCTTACCTTTGAATTTTTTTTCAATGATTTCTTAAATATTAGCCTCATAGTATTAAGTTGCTGGAACATTACTCCTCTTGTAAATATTGCTTTTTGGCTAAAATGTATGCTCTTTATTTTCATCTTCTTCATCTGCTATTGATTTATTATTGCTTAAACTAAATCTGATTTCCTAATTAATATTGCCAAAGATTTAAGCCAGAGATTTAACGTTCTCCATCTTCTAAATTTCTTATTGGTGTTTGTAGTTTCTTAAGATCTAAAGGAAATGTTTAAATTAAGCCATGAATGTATTTCAGTACCTCTGTTTGCTGTTTGATTTCAGATTACAATCTGAATATTTCATTTTTATTTGCAAATGACAAATCTACAGAGCCCCGTTAATTACCTCTGAAAGTATTAATTTTCATTTGAGTATTTTCTTGATTGTTGGTATTCATTTCGATTTAAATTTTAATGAATTTTAATATTATATCAGTTGAGGAAAAAATTTTATCTCTTTTCAAGGGGTTTTGGGGTTTTGGGG